CGTCTGTTCTTCTGATGCACCTGTTCCGAGTAACAAGATTTTGTTTTCCAAGTAACAAGAAAATCTATTGTAAGGGCAACTTGGGAGACATAAAGGAAGGAAGTGAGCTGTATTTGCCATGCAACATGCAAAGAATTGTTTGATTTAGTACAGGGTGAATAAGACAAAGAATTATATTCTATGGTTGAATGACCAGGCTTGTAGATGAGTGTTGTTTCATTAGAAAGTAAATACCAAGTAATCAAATATCATGTAGAAGTCTGCAGAGCTCTGAGCACTGCTGCAAGGAATCAGGCAGTGCCTACCTGAAAGAAGAGCTTGCTCTTTATTGCACTGGCCATATCCAGGATGCATTTTTATAACCTTGTCTCATATTTTTAACATCTGTATGCAGTCGTATTTCCTACACATGTATAACCCCTATTTGATTTTATTTCTGTTTTTACTGTGTGACTAACATCAACGTCATATACAATTTCATTGCAAATTAAATGCTTCATTAGTTGTACTAAGACTCATGACAGAAGCATGGTCGGACTGAAATAAGTATTGCAGATCTTCAGGGTTTCCTCTTTCTGTTCCTAAACTTCCTAACGTTAAACCTTTCCAGCAGCTGAAAAAATGAAAGGAAATCTGCCAGGCATCTATAACTGGGCTCAGTAACCATGTTAGCCACTCTGCCCACATTTGATTATAAGGACTCAGAGGTACCCGTTTCTGAAGTAAACCTTCCCCAGAGCATGTATCAGTGGAACAAGCTAAGCTACTCAGTCATACTAGCCAGTGTAAAATAAATATGATAGCTGTATGGCAGCTACAACCTTAATAATGCTGAGCAGGGTAAAAGATGCAAGAGAAGAATTTGTCATCCAGAACAGCCCTGTAATTTTGGAAGGTATCAACATATGCCTTTTTATCACTGTTTACAACAAACATCTTTCAGTTTACAGTCAACTACAATCTCCAAACTGTTTTTTTTTTTAACAGTACTTTTGTTTTGCTGATGAAAACTGAGACATGAGTATTATTTCCAGAAGTCTAAAATCCATCAATATTTATAAAAGCACTCTGAAATCTATACTGGGAAAAGCAAAGTATTTCTTAGTGGTGTATAAATATTGTTATAGCTATAAATACACCTGTAGTCTCAAACGCTTTCAAGTCCATTTATTTTCCACCCTTTTGCAATTAAAAACTGGACCAGATGGCCAGTGGGAAAGACGAGGCTGGTGTACGGAGACGTGGTGGAATGCTGCTCCTTTGCACACATCATGGAGCAGTAAAAAGTCTGCATTTCCACAGAGATACAGTCACTGTCCTGGACTGACTGCTTTTATTTAGGAAACAAGAAAACATGCTGTAAAAAGCAATAAAAACAGAAAGCAGCTGTGCTGCTCTTCTGCTGTGCTCTGGCTCTTTTCATAATCTGTATACAGCCACAAAGCTGATCCTGTCTGGGCTTCTCCGCCTGCTGAGGGCAAGCGAGGCAGCCCTCCACCCACTCCATGCCGGCAGCATCACCCTGTCCAACAACACGGGCTACTAGGGCCAGGGCTCCTGCAGATGCTGCCAGCACAGGGCAAGGCTCTTTGCCTTCCCACATCATTTGTATCCAATCCTTCTCCACTGCAAATTTACCAGTATTTTAGGGGCAGCCACTGAACCAGCAGCCCAACTCAGCACAGGCCCCAGGACTGGCTTTCTCCGGGCAGTGGCTCCACCAGCTAATGGGGGTCAGGGTCAGCAATGGGCAACGTCAGTGTTTCCTGCTTGCCGCCTCTCTTGGAGGCTCTGTACAGCAAGAAAAGCCACCACTAAGCAATGGGAGGGGAAAAAGCAGGGTTGGGGATGGTCTAGAAAGCAGTCCGGTGCATGAGGGAGATGGAGAGTCTGCTGGGCTGGATGGGATGAGCCAGCACAGTTGCAATCCCAGCTGACTTGGGCCCCAGTTAGCTAGGGTAGGACTAGGAAAATAACTCCAGTTTTCCAGCACATTTTAGATTACTGCTGAATAAACACGTGTAGGATATTTTGTCTTATTTATATGTGTGTGCAAGTGCCTGGATAAACTCCTGTGTGCCCAGGGGAACAACCTAACCTAGGAGTATCGTGGAAAGTCAGCTGGACCCAGCAGGGGTTGAACTCCAGGCCACAAAGCGGAGAGAAGCAGGGACCAAAGACCTCCCCATGATGCCAGCTGAGCTGCCCTCCCACCCAAACCCCCCCCGGATGGATGCACTGTCGATGTGCCCAGACACGGCAGCATGTTGAAATGCCACAACCAAAGGGGAGAGGGTGGGGAAAAGGAATACATGGTTACCTTTGACACTAATCTGTCTCATCCAGGACTACCGCTAATATACCCTAAGAATAGAGACAGCTACCAGAGCCAACGTTCAAAGGAAAGAAAAATGGCCAAAATAACTCTGTTTTCTATTAAATATAACAGTTCCTTCCCAAAAATGCAATTCATGGAACTTTAATATTCTCTTTCGGGTAATTGTAAGTAGCACCATAAAAAATACTGTCTCTTGTTTCTGAATATATGGTTGTCTTCATAATGCAAAATGTTCTACATTTGTGATAAAAAACCTGTGTCATTTATAACCATCCATATTACTCCCTACACACAAATGTATTAGTATCTACATATCAATATAATGTAACTGCACATCACTGCAACATTACCTGGCTCCTGCCTGAGGAGCGTCTCACAATTACCCTTATAAGCATCTGTTTTGAAATTACAGGGCTAAGGAGCTCCAGGTTTTAGAGAAGGGCAATGTTGCACTGTCTGCCTTCGGCATACTACTTCCACTAATCCAACCTTACGTGTTCATAGTTTCCAAGAAAAAAGGCTACATATAAATACATACAAGAGGTCTGGGGGAAAGGTGGGTGACGTGGAACAAAGAGCACATTTTGAAGAGCTTTGAAAGCTGGTGCAGCTTACCAAGATCAATGACATGTCATCCCAGAGGAGCACTGAAAAAAGCCTTTGTAGTTCTGCTCCCCTTCTGTCTGTCTGCATTCCGTATTTCTAAGCAGGCAGTTTGCAGAGAGCGTGCATGTGTGTGCAGCCAGTGTGCTCTGTGCATGCATTTAAGCACACACAGTATCCACGTACCACAAAGTTAGAGATTACATGCAAATAAAGTACTGTGCAAAGCTGTGCGGTACAAAGAAATGTATATTTAGAAGTTAACACAAAGAGAAAGAGTTGAGACAGGAGATGGAGAAATTGTTCCTATGATCTAATCAGTAAGATGTCCATCTAGCAGATATTAAAATGGTCTCTAGGCCACGGAAAGCAGCATGTTTTCATTTTGACTAATGCATCTCACACATAAAGCAGTGGTGAATACTCTGAATCAGGTTTAAATTCATTTTCAAGAAATAGCCTGATGCATGCAACATCAGCCTCTCAAAAAAGACCTTAATACAAGAGGCAGTACAGAAGCAGATAGAGTGGAAAAGACTTTCTGAGCTGCTGAATTTATAAAAAGGTAAATACCATTACAGGGAAAGGTTCAACATAAGGAGAAATTAAAAAAAAAAAAAAAAAAAAAAAGAGAAGCTTTTGCTCCTACAATTGAGGGGCAGTGAAGTTTTTAGGACTTAGCTTGATATTTCAATAAATAATTATGTTTTTCCAACTGAACAACCAGCTAGACACGGCAAACTGTAATTAACACCAAGAAGCATAATACCATTTGGCATGCTTACACCTTGTTTCTGAACAGAAGACTGCAAGAACCCCTTAAAAGCTATTCAAAGAAACTTATAATTATGTGCTAGTGTGATTAGGCTCTTCTAATAATGTCATGCCTATTGAGCACACCCTATTGAAAAGTCTGCATAAAAAATGCACGGTTCCACTGATCTGTACGCTTATGTCAGAAGCCCTCATTTGGAGATCTGAGAAATGAAAGAAACATTACTATGGAGATTAAGAAATTTGATTTAGCACTGTAAAATAATATTATGATTGAATAATATTAGCACCAGCTATTAATAAATGTGCCAGCATTTCCCATTAGAAGACACCATATGCGGTTGCTTATTGCTATGCCAAAATTTTAAGCTGTGGGAGTAAATCTCATGTTAAAAAGTTCTTTGAATACTTTAAGGCTTTGGTGACCTGGAGCAGAACTTTGACTATGGGCAACAAAGTGGGCAACAAATACACACTTTCGACTGTGCATGAAGGGTCAAAACACCATTAATAAGGTCACAGAGCAACCTGATTATGCATGCAATTATAGAGGTGCTAAATATTTTTATTATTATTATAATCAGTCATTATAATAGAAACTCTCTCTTCTTCATCTTTATCACAGGAAACAAAAATATAATCTACAACTTTATGTAAAATAAGCCATAAAAGCGCTCTCAGTCCAATTGAGCTGGTAACTAGCTCTTGTTCATCTTAATTCGGAAGGACTGACAGGTACGAGCAGGAAATGAAGATGCCTGCTACCTTAGGTCAATTAATCCATGTACTCGAGAATGTATTCTCAAGAGTTAAACACAGTGCTGTGATTCCTGGGGACCCATGAGTATACATGGGCATGTAGCTTATAGAAGGTGAACAGCATCTGGCTGTTATAATGCAAGCAAGAAAGCTTTGCAGGTGCTGAAGCCTGTAATGATCTAGTACAAATGTATGTCAGCTGCTGTTTGAATGCTTGGGTTACTGAGTAATTTTTGCAGATAATCACGTCTTCTCACACAGCCTGGATCAGTTTTCAGAACGTGGGACAAGTCAGACAAAAGAGCCTTCTTTGTGCCATTCAGCCTCAAACAACCTTGTATCTCATCTCACTATCACTCACCTCCAGATGGACCAATTATTATTATTTCTGGAGTCAAAGTAGAATTTACCACCCCCATTTCGAAAACACCCTTGGGGCTGCAAAAACCTTCAGACAAAGCAGGGAAGGATATATAATGCTGTATTAAGAAGAAAATAAATTAATGTCCATAAAGCAAGCAATTACCATTCTCTTCATCTCCTTGGAGACCTGGTGAGCTCCAAGGTGGTTATAAAAGGGCCGGTCAACACCCCAGTGTGGTGGGTTATGGCTGATGGAATTAGCACGCTGACGGTTCATCTTGGCTATTGTAGCTTTCTCGTCTTTCTGAAATACAAACAAGAGAGAAATGCAGAATAAATTTTGAAACTTTTACATGGCAGTCATTCTCCAAGCATCTCTCACTTCAGATCTCTCACTCCAGAAGTTGGCTTTGCGCCATGAATTTTATGAAGTGGTCACTGATCAGGAGCAGTCCCAGTCCAACATTTCTTTTTCTTCTGTTTTTTTAGAACACGTGCCCCTAAGTGGTGCCCACCATTTGACTCCTTTGCTTGTTTTGAATAACCACCATAACCTGTGTAGAATCAAACAATCATTCAGGTTGGAAAAGTCCAACTGTAAACCTAACACTGCCAAGTCCACCACTAAATCATGTCCACAAGCACTGTATCTACACGTCTTGTAAATGCCTCCGGGGATGGTGACTCAACCACTTCCCTGGGCAGCCTGATCCAATGCTTGACAACCGTTTCAGTGAAGAAATTTTTCCTAATATCCAATCTAAACCTCCCCTGGTGAAGCTTGAGGCCATTTCCTCTTGTCTTGCTGCTTGGTACTTGGGAGAAGAGACTGACCC